ATTTTTTAATGTTACGCTCAGGTACAATCTGAGGGGCTTCACTTTGTTTTATTGTTTCTGTATATAAATATTTATTTTTATTTGATCTTTTCTATTATATAATTGATATAATATATATATTATTATTATTTTATTATTATTATTGTCAAGTTAAACCAGGAAAGGGCAAGTGACACTTTCTAATGTCCACCCGCCTGGTGTGCTTTGAACTTGAAATCAAGCGCTCTCCCTCCTCAAGCCAAACACCTAATTTAGAAATAATCCTGCTCACCTGGGCTTCGCAGAAGGAGAAAGAACTCAAACTCCAAGCTACAAGAAAAGACACCACTGGAAGGAGATGAGAACATAAAAAGTATTTTACATGATTCATATTTTTTGCAGTACAACCAAAATAAATTTTGTTTGTTTGACATCATGGTATCCAGTGCTTGCAATATGCACTTTATTGTTTGTTGATTTCATCTATAGTTAGGTTTTAAAAGCTAGTTGAATTTGTAAAACATTCAAGAGATTTCATTGTAATTTCTGGTGTGCATTTTATTACTTTGTAGGTTCTCAACCTACTCACATGTTTGTGAGATGTGTATGAATCAAGGAAAATGATAAATAACCAAAGTTGAGTTGTCCCAGCATCCTTTGGTTGTGGCTAGGCCATTTAAAGTTTGGGCAAGAGCTGGAGAATCTAAGAAAAACTTGACAATAATTATCATAGTAATATTATTATTATAATAATTATATAATCAGGGCCGGAGCTAGATGGGGGGCCAGGGGTGGCCGGCCACCCTTAGCAAATCATTGACCACCCCTACCATTTTTCTAGCCTGACGTAGTCCGACTCAATTCTAGTCAGAATGAGTCTGATACTGCTCCATAGAGCTGTGATTATGGGGCGTGTTTCGAACGAACCAGGAAAAAAAATGCCTCTGCACTCAATTGGATAGACCTACAACCAATAAGAGCAACGGAGTGCGTGACGTATGTTAAGCGACGCATAGTTGTTGTCCAGAAAAATCAAAGCGTGCAGTTTCACGCCTAGAATAAAAAGATAAGACTTGATCGCATTTCTCTGTTCCTCTTTTAAAATTAATTTGCTGTCGATATCTTCTAGAACAGACCTAATAGCAGAATCTACTCACCCAAACTCTCCAGCGGCAGCCATTATTGTTGTCACCCAAGCGCGCTTTGGTCACGTGGTTGATTACGTTACTTTTGATCATCTGTCCATCATCGTATAAAGCCCGCCCTGACAATTTGATTGGATCGCCTGACAGTGGGCGATAATACACGCGCTACTATGGAGCAGAGCCAGACCGAACTTCCCCGAACTCAAACCTTGTGGGCGGGACTAAGTTCGGACTGTCACCCAGGCTACCATTTTTCCCCCTCTAATACAGATGGTGGCAGCAGTAATACTCTCAAGTGGAATATTCCAAACACTCTATTTTTTTGTGGTTAATTATACACATCAATATACTATCATCAAAGATGATAAGTACATATTTCATGCTCTTTTCAGAGCTACATTTGGTGTTATATGGGGTAAAGAGAAAATGATGTGTCCCTCCAAGTTATCTAGGAGTCTTCAGTGAAATCAAAGATAAATCATTTCAATAAAAACTTATCAAGTAATCAATTTATGTAGATATTAGTGCTTGTAAATATACATTTTATGCAAAAATGTTTATTGATACAAGTAGGTAAGTAATGACAATGGAAAATATTTACGCCCTAGAACTCAAAACTGAAAGAGTTTTATCCACTATACCTTTTATCTAGAAATTATGGATGTTTAAATATATGCGTCTATTTGTCAGCAAAGGCTGTAGGAAAGTATAGTTTGTCTTTATTTAGAAAATATGGATATTTTTCTTGTTAATTTTCCTGTTGGAACAGTGTGGACTGACCCTGAGGTTCTAGTGCCTATCTGCTTTCGGCCACCACTCAGTGTACATTTGCCATTGCCAGGCCACCCTTATAAAGATGTTTCCCGTGGCTCCAGCATTGCGGTGGCTGGGGGTTTTTCTCTGGGCCTTCTCTCCTCCTCCCTTGATGGGGGGTCAGATTTCCTGGGTTGGCCCCTTCCTGGGCGCCTTTGCTCTTCGGCTCCCTTTGGGCGTCTGGGGTTTTGGGTCCCCTGGCGCTCGCCCAGTTGCGTCTTTGGCTCCTCACAACCACTATTGAGCAATTTTCTACAGGTGCTTGGTTCCAGGTAGCCTGGGTGCCATTCCGAACTTAGTCCCGCCCACAAGGTTTGAGGTCGGGAAGTTCGGTCTGGCATTGCTCCATAGTAGCGCGAGTATGATCGCCCACTCTCTGGCGATCCAATCAAATTGTCAGGGCGGGCTTTATACAATGATGGACAGATGATCAACAGTAACGTAATCAACCATGTGACCAAAGCGCGCTTGGGTGACAACAACAATGGCTGCCGCCGGAGAGTTGAGGTGTGTAGATTCTGCTATTAGGTCTGTTCTAGAAGATATCGACAGCAAATTAATTTTAAAAGAGGAACAGAGAAACGCGATCAAGGCTCATCTTCTTATTCTAGGCGTGCAACTGTGCGCTTTGATTTTTGCTGACAACAACTATGCGTCGCTTAACATACGTCACGCACTCCGTTGCTCTTATTGGTTGTAGGTCTATCCAATTGAGTGCAGAGGCTTTTTTTTTCCTGGTTCGTTCAAAACACGCCCCATAATCACAGCTCTATGGAGCAGCATCAGACTCATATTCTGACTAGAATTGAGTAGGACTACGTCAGGCTAGGTTCCAGGTACTTAGAGATTAACTCCCATAAAGAAAGCCCATATTGTGTTCTTCAACTACCACAGTATACATGTCACTATATCCGTTGGTTGTGCTGTTCTTTTTACATCTCTTTTTGCAGATGATTAAGCAGACCGAAGATGTTTTAATGTTATCTCCCTTTTATCTCCTCTTTCTTTTATCTTTTCTCCTTTTTTTAAGTTTTTTCTTTTCTGTTCTACATTGCAGTGTCCATAAAATCTGTAATACTCCCTGCATAAATTATAATAAAGCTATTCAATGGTTTAACGACACAACAATAGGCCCGTAAACAGCATTATCTGGTTGGGTCCCATATGATGTACAACACAAGATAACGGTTCAGGATACGGCGACAGTTCCATTAAATGGCCAAGAAGATACAATTAAGAGGTCGTAGGCCGGTAAGCAACTGCTGTCTCTGCTTACCGATATTTACGCCTTTGATGCCATTTATATGCGTAAATCAAGTGGAACACTGTGGCGATAACCATACTGCTGTAGCCTGATTAACCAGACTAAATGTGAGATTAAATGTGTAATTTAGTCTGGCCCCGATGAATGAGACATCGGAAGATTGTTGATGAGAACAAACCATGTCTGTGCCTATTGGCCAACGCTCTGACCAATGAGCGCAACTGACTGTGACGTAGAAAGCGTGAGAGAAAGCTGGTGGGGGAGTGTAAACCAACAGCCTGTCGGTTAAACGGTGAATACATCCTTCTTAAAAATGAATGAGCATAGAGCCTCTTCCTGCTCACGTTTCAACCAAAATCCCAAGTCTAATCCTTCCAGAACTGATTCCAAAGCTAAGTCAAACGAGAACTGTTCAATAGTTGTTGCCATCTTCCTTGTTGTGCTTTTGCCAGCGTTGTGCGGCTTTGTCGTCACGCCCTCAAATCCCTGCCCGCTTTGCATCCAAAAAATTCAAAACATCTCTGCGTTATGATTGGCCCGCCAGTTCTAAGGTCTGGGGCATTGATAGAGGCTAGACCAACTCGCAGGCAAAAATGATGAACAACTGGTGGCTGGGGCTAGTTTACTAGGCAGATTATACTTCTGCAACAACAAACATGAAATGTCGCTTGGGTTTGGTCGCGAAGTTTTGCTGGTATGCTTCTGCACCATCGGTCTGGAATTTGTGGGGAAGCACAGCAGCTTCCTCCAAAAGCGCAATGGGGGGAGCCTATTCAAGAACTCACAAGAACTTCGGCGGATTGTCACGAGAAATTTGGCGGCACCGGCGGGAGTGTTGATCTTCCAAAAAGAACAATGGCACGTCTGCAAGATATCATGGTCACGGAGATGGATCTAGAGTTGTCGGACATCGAAGAGCAACAGGTTCTCTCAATGGAGAGAACCTCCTCGACTAACCTTTCGTCGTAGTTGTCCATTGTAGTTGTTCCTCGGTTTTAAAAAATGGCGTGCCCTGGCACCGAATCGAGAAGTACGACCACACAGACAACCAGAAAGGCATACCAAGGACCAATCACAGCTGCTTCTTGTCTGCGAACTTCCGCAGGTTTGCGATCGTCCAACCTGTAGTTAGGATTTTTTTGGAGGTGCGCGACGACGGTCGTAGAACCTCTGCGAGGGGGCGTGGTCACGCACAGAGACAGATTTGACGGTTGCAGAGGCTATGCGTCAGAAGCATAATTGGCCTTAAGAGGTCGTGGGCCCGTAAGCAACGGCTGTCTCTGCTTAACGATATTTACGCCATTGAAGCTATTTATATGCGTAAATCAAGCGAAACACCAAAGTGATAGCCATACTACTCCACTTATGAAAGCAAAATCTGTTGGGCTATTTCTTAAAAATCAAGACAATTATTCTTATTGCCACATTGCCAGACAGGACACTGTTAAAAAACTAAAATAAAATTCTGGCTACGCCTCTGAATATAATAATTATTATTCAGTTATATATGTATTATTATTATTATATATGTATTATAATTGTATTTTATGGTTGTGAACAGCACTTTGGTCCGTCAGTGTATAAAGTGCTTCATAAATAAAGTTGATATATTATGGTATGTATATAAATGTGTATCCAGGTCTCAGAAACAGTTTTTTCAGAAATATCTCAGAGGTCTTGTGTATTTTTGGCCGCCATATTGACTCTGACAGGACATTGCGCAAAGATCAAACAAGAAGTTGGCGCTCTTTGTCCTGTGAAAGAACGCGCTGTATTTCTGGGCTCCTGTTACCGGAAAGCCAGTGAGTGCTGCTCGCAGTGTCCCCGGCCGCTTCACACTTATAGGTGGGGCGAAGGAGGCGACAGGACGGCTCTGTCAAGAAGTTTTTCGACTTCACACTGCCGCGCGTGCAGCGTCTTATTTTATCTGCTAAGAAATATTAGAGAAACTACGGAGGAGAGGTGGCGCGATAAAGGGAGAGTGAGGCGGAAAAGGAGCCAGCCATGGACGGTGAGTTGAGCTGTTTTATTCGCTCTGCTTTTCAGCAGCAGGAGGTGAAACTGAACGGGGTGGTTGTTTTGCGAAGAGGGAAAGCCCCGCTTTCACTGGGTTTGCGCTAACAGGAGGGGTTAGCGAGCCAAGCCCCTACTAAAAGTTCATGTTTTAGAAGAAAACTCTTAAAGAATTTTAAATATAATCTTGAAATGACATTGTTTAAGTTATTTAGTCTCGGTGTGGATCATTCACCTTGCCTCGAACCTGTCGCACTGCCAGGAGGCCTGCTGGATCGCTCCTAAAGGATTGGCCGCCAAACTTCATTCAAAAAACTCACAATTTAATGTTTCTCTATAGTTTTGCTGAAACTAAAGTTAAAAATGAAACTTTATTAAAACGCCTAGCTATTTTCCACTCGTCCCCTCCCACTCGGCGTACATTTGGTCTAACTTGTTTTAATATTTCCAATAAAATCTCCATTTTCTCTGGCTGCTTCGAGCCGCCCACCTGTTTTTCTTTTAGGAAAGGCAAAATAAATTGAATGCGTTGGCAGAGGAAGGAAATACTTTCTGACTGAGTTTATTTACACCATGTATTCCTTAAAAAAACTTACATATTCCAGATCGGTTTATTTTAACATTTAATTGAAATGATCTAGAATGAGTGTGATTGAGTGATGACACTAAAGTGATTTGTGTGTAAGGGCTTCAGTGGGTGGCCTCAAAGCTTCAGCTGTGTTATGATATTGGTGCATTCAATGACTTATGAGTGTGTGGCATTATGTCTGACATCTTCTTTCACTTTCATACTGTATAAGCTGAAACCAGCAGGGATTATGTCACTCAAATAAAAGTGCACCAAGGCCAATAATTTTAAAAGATTTCAAATGAAATTTGAATTAATTTAAAAAACATGCAAAAGTCTTGAGTTTGTTGTTCTTCAGTTAAGAAAAAAATGGCTTTGAGTTGAATAAAAAGCATAGATTATCTCCATTATGTTGTTATCTGTGTTGATTTAGAGTAAAGCTTTAGAAAGCAGGCATGTTCCAGCTTGGAAAGAGTCCCACTAATGGTTCTTAAACTGTCTGTCTGGTTTTAGCTGCAGGGAGGAGCTTCGGCCACCTGATCTTCTCACACCTTCCCTTTTTTCTTCCCCTTCAAACAACATGTTGAGCCTGCTATTTTCTTTTTTCTCTCTCAGGGAATACTTCTAGCAACAAATCTAGTAATGTGACACCAGGCCGGCACGCTGCCCGCCGCTCAATGTTTGCAATTTCCATCACTTCTGCGTGTCTAGAACTTGGCAGACACTTTATGAGCGCTTATTATATTTAGCTGGGAAGCTCCGTGTATCTCTGCAGCCTTCTGACCTCTGTCTGGTAGATTTCCACTCTGACCGCACCACAAATGACAAACTCGTACTAAAACCACAAATATGCCCTACATCTTGTTTGTTTTATTCTAGTCATTTGCAAGGCTTTGTGTTGTGCGTCATTTCGTGTGGAGGATTAGCAGTTACCCCTGATGGGAATTTACCCCACTAAGATGTTAAACTCTGTTTCTCTCACTCCAGGTGTGTATGGATGGGGCTTGACCCCTCTAAACCCAGGTAAGAATGTGTTTTTATTTATTTTTTATTTAATTTGTTCATGGGGATTATAGACGAAGGCACCAGGTTTCTGTTGTTATGCTGAAGGAAGTAAAAAAAGTGGGAGATATGGGGTTAATTTATGTCAGTAACAACATATGAGTAAGATGTTTAAACTAGTAAGTGAACTTTGCAAAAATACAAGTAAGAATTTACCAGTAAGAATTCACATTTTTCGTCAAAAACTTTTAATTTCTCCATATAATCCCACATTTGTGAGTACGAAACCCAGATTTCTGGTTATAATCCCATATTTCTCATTCAAATCCGTCATTTAAGAGTAATGATCACAATTGTAGGACTATATCGCTATATTTCAAAAATTCGCATTATAACCCTAAATTTCTAGTCATAATAATCCCATTTTTAGGAGAATAAATCCATACTTCTCATAACTATCCCTTATTTATGAGTACAAATCCAAATTTCTTGTTATCCCACATTTACAAGTATGGTTCCCACATTTATGAGTAGGAAATCACATTTTTGTCAAAAACCTNATTTACAAGTATGGTTCCCACATTTATGAGTAGGAAATCACATTTTTGTCAAAAACCTTAATTACTCTTTATAATCCCACATTTATGAGTACAAACCCCAAATTTCTTGTTATAATCCCAAATTTTCCGTTCAGATCCGTCATTTATGAATACTGATTCCAAATGTATGTAAGCGTATGTACGAGTATGAATCCACGTTTCTTGTTTTCCCAGATTTCTCATCATAATTCCAAATTTCTCATTATTACCCTAAATGTCTAGTTAAAATAATCCCATATTTAAGATCTACTTTCCAAATTTCTCATTATAATCCCTCATTTACGAGTACGAATCCAAAATTTCTTGTTATTCCACATTTATGAGTAGGTATTAAATTTCTTATTATAAACGTTTATTTCTATGAAAAAACAAATTTGTTGTTTTAATCCCAATTTCTCTTTCAAATCCATCATTTACAATTACTGATCACCAATTTATGAGTATGAATTCACGTCTGTCATTATAATCCCAGATTTCTCAACATACTCCCAAATTTCTCGTCATAACCCAAAATTTCTAGTTAAAATAATCCCGCATTTAAAACTATGAAACCACGTTTTTGATCCCAATCCCAAATTTCTCCTTATAATTCCAAATTTTCCAAAATCAAAAGTTTAGGAGAATAAATACCTACTTCTCATTACTATCCCTTATTTATGAGTACAAATCCAAATTTCTTGTTATCCCACATTTACAAGCATGGTTCCCACATTTATGAGTAGGAATTCACATTTTTGTCGAAATCCTTAATTACTCTTTATAATCCCACATTTATGAGTACAAAACACAAATTTCTTGTTATAATCCCAAATTTCTCGTTCAGATCCGTCAATTATGAGTACTGATTAGATATGTATGAGTATGAATCTACGTATAATCCCAGATTTCTCATTATAATTCCAAATTTCTCATTATTACCCTAAATGTCTAGTTAAAATAATCACATGTTTAAGAGTATGAATCCACATTTCAAATTTCTCATTATAATCCCTCGTTTATGAGTACGAATCCAAATTTCTTATCCCACATTTACGAGTAGGTATTCAATTTTTTTTATTATAAACATTTATTTCTAATTAGAATCCCACAATAACAAGTATGAAAAAACAAATTTGTTGTTTTAATCCCAATTTCTCTTTAAAATCCATAATTTACAATCACTGATCACCAATTTATGAATATGAATCCACGTTTAATCTCAGATTTCTCAACATTCTCCCAAATTTCTCGTCATAACCCAAAATGTCTA